ATGCACTTCTGTGTTCTTTGTATCTCTCACGACAATGTCTTTCAACAATTTCAACCATCTGATGATCTTTTAAATCAACATCAATTTTTTCCTAAACATAGAGAAAATAAGATTTCAGTGATTATAGTATTAAACATAATCCAAATCAATTACAAAATTTACTTACCAGAAGACGATTGTAGGCTAATTCTCTATCATGAATTATAATATAGAGTTTGATACAAGAGTAGCTTGTTTATAGCACTTTGCACTGACCTTTTTATGCTGTTAAATTGGTATACTATGCTAATTTTCCAAATTTCTATAGGTTTTGGAAGCAAGTGCTCCTGTAAGTTTTGACGTCGATAAGATTTTTGTGAATAGAAATGGATCAGCATTGCTTCTAGCTGGTTTGGAGGGTTTGTGTCATATACCTCTATGGACACTCTTCAATGGAAGAAAATACTATTTTTTGCTGTAAGCCATATCCAAATGCCTAACTCCAGCAATGGTATTGTGTGGTTATGACTATCAGCCTGGTTGTAGTAATCCTTAATGTATGTTGATAAGACCTATGCATATTAAGGGTTTTATTTGCTTAAATTTGAAAATATCTCATCCTTGGCACTGGGAAATAGTTAAATCTTTATTTGTTGTGATTTTGTTTCACAGCAGGTGCTATTTTAGTCATCAATATGATGTGCAAAATCGTTATTATTGTACTTTTGATTTCTTTGCAAAATTTTTGATCTGTCTTCAGCTCTTAAGCCACCAGAGCAGGAATTTTAATTAATCGTTGATTAAACTAATTAATCAAACGTTGCTCTTGATTAAGTATAGTTACTTAATTGAAATCAAATTAAAGTATAATTACTCGATTAAATAAAATTAAACTACAATTATTTGATTAAACTAGTGAAAAAGTTATTGCGAATGAATTTTCCTTAAATATGGTGAGGGTGGAGCCCAGAGATAAGGATCAAATATCTTGAAGATGGGCCTCTATTTGTAGCTAGATTCTAGGCCCAAATATATTTTCGGCAGGTAGGACAAGAAAAAGGAGCTGGTCAAAATACTGATTTTACACTTGAAAGCCAAAATTAGATTCAAAACTGGCCCTAAGAATATCAATCTTGGACCATATGATATATATGGGGGTACTTACAAAAATCACGTGAACGGTTTTTAGGAAGTAAAAAATACTGTGTAAAATAAAGAAGTGACATTGTCACATTTTTTTTAAAAAAGTGACACAAATTCAAAAAAAGTGATAAAATTAAAAAAAAAGTGACACACACACACGCACACTCAAAAAGTGATACAAACT